ATTGACCAAGTCCGCGCACTTCTTACCCATCAAAGAGACCGACAAGATGGAGAAGCTAACAAGAACATACATTCGGGATATAGTACGACCGCATGGTGTTCCTATATCTATTATCTCCGATAGGGATAGTAGATTCACTTCGAGATTCTGGCAGTCACTACAAAGCTCCTTATGATCGAGGCTAGACATGAGTACAGCCTACCATCCACAGACCGACAGACAAAGTGAGAGAACTATCCAAACCTTGGAAGATATGTTGCGAGCCTGTGTGATCGACTTTGGGAAGGCATGGGATACCCACTTACCCCTTGTTGAATTCTCCTAGAACAACAATTATCACACGAGCATAAAGGCTGCTCCATTTGAAGCCCTCTATGGCCGGAAGTGCAGATCCCCTCTATGCTGGGCTGAGGTGGGTGACACTCAGTTAGCTAAAGGACGAGTTCCTGACAGCACTCTCACGGGTCCGGAGATCATTCGGGAAACGACAGAGAAAATCGTTCAGATTCGTGAACGATTGAAAGCCTCTAGAGACCGACATAAAAGCTATGCAGACAAACGAAGGAAACCCTTGGAATTCCAGGTGGGAGACCGAGTCCTCTTGAAATTCTCACCCTGGAAGGGCTTGATACGCTTCAGAAAGCGTGGAAAGCTAAATCCCAGATACATAGGGCCTTTCAAGATTCTCGCCAGAATCGGCCCTGTAGCATACAAACTCAATCTACCCCACGAGCTTAGTAACGTACATCCTACCTTCCACGTCTCGAACTTGAAAAAGTGCCTATCCGACGAGACTCTTGTAATCCCACTCGACGAGATCGAGATCAACGAGAGCCTCAACTTCGTGGACGAACCGGTAGAGATCATGGACTGAGAGGTCAAGCGAACGAAACAAAGTCGTATCCCAATCGTGAAGGTTCGGTAGAACGCCAAGCGAGGACCGAAGTTCACTTGGGAGCGCGAGGATCAAATGAAACGTAAATATCCTCATCTTTTTACTTAGTTATTTGTAATAACTTAGTTGCTTGGACTCTAATTTCGGGACGAAATTCCCTCGAACGGGGGGATGATGTGATAACCTGAAATTTCCATTTGTACAAACCCTGCAGTCAAGCACTTCAAATAAAAAGTCAAATTCATTTCTGCTAATTTTTAGCTCGGTTTAAAGTTCGTTTGGGTATTTTTAATATTAATTCTTCGAGTGAACAAATGAAAGGAAGTATTTTCTAGGATTATTATGTAACAAATAAAACAATTAACACCTTAATGAGGTGTTCACGGCCAAACATGAGGGGTTTGGGCCGTGAACTCCCCTTTAACCGTGAACTCATGCTTAAGGCATGAGTTTACTCCTTTCCTTCCTCATTTCTCACTTCCAAGCTCAAGAACACCCACATTCTCTCTCAAGTATCATAAGATCTTCCAAATTTTCCAAAAATGTAAGTGTTTCTTCTCTTGATTTGTTGATACAACACTTCATCTTGTAGTTATACATGATTTCATCCATGAAATCTTCTCTTTTTCATAGATCTTCAAGTGTTCTTCATTTCACCAAGAACACCAAGAACACACACTAGTGTTCTTGGACCTTAAACACTCATACAAGCTTCCTATAAGTAAGTACACCCCTCTTAACTAGTTATGTGCTTATATTACTTATCAAACCATTGAAAAACACCAAGAATTCCCAAGAACACATGGTTTTACGGCCAAAGCAATCTACTTGGGCCGTAAACACCATTAGGTCGTGCATATGTGCCACCATTACTTCCTAGGGCTTGGATATTGGACTAGAACCCTTCATGTATGAGCTAAGGACCTTAAACCACGAAATGATGGGAGTTACCATGGGTTTACGGCCGTAAACCCACTAGGACTGTAAACCGTAGGCCGTAAACTCCATGGGAGTTGGTCCTTGGGCCGTAAACCCTAATAAGGGGGCCATTAAGAGTCCTAGTCCCTTCTAAAGCCTTGGAACCAAGTCTAGGAACCCTTCCAACTTGAGCTAAGGACATTGAACATCAAAATGGTAGAAGTTACCATGGGTTTACGGCCATAAACCCATTAGGGCCGCAAACCCTAGGCCGTAAACTGATGGAGAGTTTACTCTTGGACCGTAAACTCAAAAGCAAAGCCCTACAACCCTTAGATGCAACCCTTTGTACTTCTAACACTTGAATCAAAGTGTTTTTCCATGTCCTAGGGTGTCTTCGCTTGTTTAATTAGTTGCTTAATCACTAATTAGATGCATATATGTGCCGTTACATGTTAAATAGGATTCGTGTGTGTTCAAGTCCTCACTTGACTCTTAGCATCCTATCCGACACTTCCATCCGAATCACTCACTACAGGTGAGTTCATACCCCTTAATCAACCTTTGAAATGATTTTAAATGCTTTTATGGGGGGGGGGGAATACAAGTTGAAGCATTCTAGTTATTGCATTAATCATATGTGATTAATAACTAGAACAAACAGGAAGATTTTCTATTACTTTCAAATTGTTATCAAGCTTATGGATTTCAAACACTTCAAAACATATTATTAAACTCTTTTAAATGCTAAATCCTTTATCAAACTCTTTTAAACTTACATTATTGTCAAACTCATATCTATACAGATATATTTATATAAGTAAGGTTTAAAGGACTTAGGACTGATAGTTCACTTTATTTCCTGTTCCTTGTTTGGTTGTGGACTTAGGGTATCTTGTTATTTGTCCGAATGTCGTTGAAACCTTAATTATATATCCTATATATGTGTTAGGATATAAAAGCTTTCACTTCAGTTCAGTACCTTTGGGTAGCAAAGGCATGCATACAACAGTACTAGTTAACTATAATAGGTATAGTTAAGAGATCACTACCCACTATTACTATTACAGACACATACAAGAGTCAGTACAGTTATGAGTCATTACATACATACTATAATGAGAAACAATACATACTATACACTATACAAGAGGATGTACTATACACTAGTGCAGAGAAAACATTACTACACTATGACATACTATACAAACATTTGAATACGATAATCAGAATGTGACATACTACTTCTCGATACGACACTACGTTGTTGTATCACCTTGTAACCAGAGTCTCCTGGAGGGAGAGCGGGCATTGTGTGTATAGATCTATACAGGACAGACACTCCCACATCTCGACTGCTAGCTATAGTCCCAGTCGTTAAGGCCAAGGGGTGACAGAATGTTACCTCACTACATATGACACCGGAGGGTCATCAGTTATTCAGCCGTCGATTAGCATGGTTACACACGAGTTCACATTCCAACCTTTAATTAATTAACTAAGAATTAAAGGCAAAAGACTCCCCGAGGTGTATTGTGCATTTAATACTACCTGGAGGCTACATTTTCATCACTTTTAGCCAGCAGTGTCACTGCTGGGGTAAAACGTTATATTTTTCCACTATTACATTTATTTTGTAATCATCTTGCATGAGCGAGGTTTTAAACTATATTTTCATAATGATAGTTTAACTGGGGAAAACTTTTACATTTACAAAAAGAACAAAACATACAAATAGTCGGGTCTTGGTAGAAGACTACATTTTACTAGAAAATATAGGATTTTCTAGGGAGTACAATCATTTATAAACATTTACAAACAACTACTAATATTTACACTACGTTATCACAAACATTTTCATACAAGCAATGACACTAAATACTTATGAACTCACCAGTGTTATGCTGATAAACTCTTTCAAAATAACTTGTATTCTCAGGTCATCAGTAGACAGGTACCGATGAAGCTTTTGAGAAGATGGAGCACATACAAGACTCATCTTTTATTTTGATCATTCTTTTGGTGGCTTACAAACTATATTGAACACACTAGTATTAAAATTATTATATTGATGCAATGGATGTTGTTGCTTGTTTTTACTATTATGCATTGTTGTGATACTGTACATGACGTCCTCCACCCCAGAACGTTTCCGCCGTTCCGGTTTTGGGGTGTGACATGATCTAATCCCAAAGCCCAATCCAAAGGCCCAAAAGTCCAACTATGGCTTAAAGTCCAACATATGGCCCAATTTTCCAAATTGGGCCCAAACCTCTACATGGACTTCCCTTAAGGTCCAATTGTTCAGTCCAGTCCAACATGTCTCATTCTAAGGGCCCAATATCATACAACCATCTAGGCCCAAACTATGGCCCAATTTTCTAAATTGGGCCCAATCATTCATATGGGCCTTACCCTAAAGCCCAACTAATTACTCTAGTCCATTTGATTATTCTTGGATGGCCCATTAATAAACCAATTACCAAAACCCAATCGAAAAGCCCAACTCAAGGCCCAAGTGAAACTAAGGTTTCACATAAAATGACGATTAGGGTTAAGTGTTTCTTACTTAACCCATTAAGGACTTAATCCATTAAGTCCTTTACTCTACTAGATCAATGATATGGAGAAATTGGGCTTAATACACAATCCAATCTCAATAGCCCAAAAGTGGGTTGAATAAGTCCAACACCCAATTACTGACAATTAGGGTTTTCTAAACCCTAATTAGGGTTTCCACTCAAACATGGCCCAATAGGCCCAAAATTAATCTTTAAGCCCATTAGGGTTTTAGCTAGGTCCATTAGGGTTTTGCTTGTGGGGCACCACCCACTACCACCTCGGGTACCGGTGGTCAATCGGCGACACACGACGGCGGCCACCACCTTACGGTGGTGGTTACTATTATTATTTTCATTATTCCATGCTAATTACAATTACAAGGATTTTATCCAAAATACACACACTAACTAATACACACACACAGCCACACCCTGGTGGTCGGCGGTGGCTCGTGGTGGCAATGGCTTTTCCTGATTCTCCGGCCAAACAAACCCAAACATACATCACAGAAATAACACTCACACGCCCTAACTGATTACAAAAGAACCCTAGCCACCCACCTTGTGGCACACTGCGATGGCAGCCACCACCTCACGGTGGTGGCAGTGGTCAGTCCATACGATTCATGAAGTCTTCCAGCAATCATGAGCTTGTGACGACGCAACCGGGAACTAAGGGGATGGTTGTGGCCTTGTCGTCGTTAAAGGGCAGCAGCGGCAGCAGCGCACGTATGGCGGTGATTGCGGCTTCCGATGGTGGCTGGGTTGCTCGTGACTGGAGGACGGCTGATCTCTCACGTCCGACTTCATCCCCAGCAACCACTGGAGGCGTGGCGGGGTTCTCCGATGGCTAAGTGGCTAACGGGATGGCGGTGGCGGAATAAAAGAAAATGTGAGAGGGTGGCAGCCTCCACCGGGAATGATATTAGCGACACCACATATGAGGTTCTCCCGATCCCTCGCTGCTACGACGTCTAAGAGAGGTTTCCGCCTTTAATGGTATAACACAACGGCTGCTCGGTGGTTCCTCGGCTGTACAACGCCTCTTCGGCAGCATGGCGTGGCGGCGCTCGCCGGCGGGGCAGTAGGCGGCGTCCCTTCCCGATCGGAATAGTGAGATGAGGAGTAGTGGCGGCTGGAACAAAATGTTTAGGTTTAGGGTTAAAGGATGCGATGTGGGGAAGGGAAACGGGTATATCCCGTGTCCCATTTCAAACATTTGATCAATTTATTCAACTTCAGCCCCTCTATCCTAATTTGTTTTCAAACTACATCCAAAACATACCAAATAGACCCTGCCCCCAGAAATCTTTACAAACTGAATCCAAAACTTACCTTTTAAACCCTGATCCCATAAATTTCTTTCATAATAGATCCCTAAATTACAAATAAACCCTTAAGCCTTCAAATCTTTTCAATTTAAGTCTATTAATTACTAAGCGCACCCTGACTTCCGTAATTATGACTTTTAACTCCTCGAAACTAACGCCTTGCTCAAATTATTATTCATTTTAGGGCTTCTACACATTTATTTATTTATTTTATAAACGGGGTGTTACAAAGGCCATTTTGGTGCATTTGGTGGTTTGTGAAGCTTGAGAAGAAGAAAGAAGCTTTAGAGTTCAAGTTGGAGCTTGGAGATCCAGAGGTTTTGTTCTTTTTCATCTCAATCAAGGTAAAATGCCCCTGTCTTGGTCTTCTTTATGGTTATTCATCCGTACGGCTTAGATTTTGGGTGCATTTAGGGCTATCCAAGCCATTTTCGGATTTGTGGAGTGTTTCATCGAGTCTTGACTTCAGATCTAAGACATTGGAGGGGTCTCCTAGCATAAAGGTGGCAACTTTATGCCCATGAGAGCCCCATGCATCTTGTAGAACACTTTTTATGGCTTTTTGAGCCAAAGCCCCCATGCATGTGCACCAAGTTTGGAGCTTTACGTATGAAATGGACATTCGGGGACCATATCTATGGTTTTGAGGTGTTAAGACCCATTTAAATCGACTGGATAGTAATGGTCATGGATGGAATCGACGAGTTGTTCTTGGGACTCGACGAGTCGGTGTGTTTTAACCACCAAATCCTTACTGTGGATGGACCAGTTGTTAGGGAAGGAAGTCCCTTAGTTGTTTAGACGCAAAAAAGGACCTGGGAATCATGGGACTCGACGAGTGGATGAACAGACTCGGCGAGTCCAAGGCAACCTCCCAATCTTTGAAGATGGACTCGACGAGTTGTTCATACAACTCGGCGAGTGGTAGACTGGACACATTCTTATGAGGGAGATGAGCTCGCCAAATTCACGGAGGAACTCGACGAGTCAGATGAAGATGGTCCCGATGTTTTGAATGAAGGAGAACCCGCCGAGTTCTTGCTAGACTCGACGAGTGGAGTCAGGGTTGGATCGGGTTAGTGGAACATGGACTCGACGAGTTGGTAGACCAACTCGGCGAGTCAGGTCAACTGAGTGTTGACTTTGACCAATGTTGACTTTCCTTGGTTTTGGTATTGACCCTGGTTAGGGTTGTTTGTTCTGTTTAATGACTAGGGTTGTCGTGTAGGGGTTGAGGGGTTGAGGAGAGCCGACCTTCACACCGAGGACAGTTCAGACACTACACGACATCGAGGTGAGTTCCCTTCCAGTAGAAGTGGGTCTAAGGCACCAAGGCCGGCCCACTAGTAGTTGTTTAGCTGAGATGATTGTCTTTGTGATAATTGTCTGGTCTGTTATGGCTTGATATGCGAGTATGCTAGTCTGCTTGATATGTGACTAAGCTAGTCTGCTATGTTATGTGAGATAGTATCAGTAGGAGGGACTAGTCACCGAATCGGTCGTTAGGACCAACGGGTAGGTCGGACACCCCAGATATGTCCGACAACATGATTGAGATATGATATTATGTGTTAGCAGTAGGGGTGAAATAGTCCCCGTGTTCGGTTGAAATACCGGGGGGTAGGTCGGCACCCCAGAATAGCCTGACATGGGTAGGTCAACACCCTAGAATGGCTCGACATGGGTAGGTCAGCACCCCATAATGGCTTGACATGGGTAGGTCGGCACCCCAAAATGGCCTGACATGGGTAGGACGGGGGCCCCAGAATTGCCCGTCAGTATGTATGTTATGTGATTGTATGGTATGTGGTATGATGGGGGAACTCACTAAGCTTTGTGCTTGCAGTTTTAGTTTTGGTTTCAGGTACCTCTTCGTCCAAGGGGAAGGAGCCGGCGGTGTAGCAGCGCATCACACACACATGGTTTCCGCATGGCGTTTTCTGGTAATGTACATTGATTTGTTTTACTTTTGACAATATGATTTTCAGACACATGGTTATGTTTCTTTTTACAATGACAAGGCATGGGAAATGTTTTGGCAAACTATGTTGTGAATTACTTAATAAAAAAAGAAATTTTTGGGCTTGAAATTTGGGATGCTACAAGTTGGTATCAGAGCCCTAGTTTGAGGGATTCGGACACACCCTCGGGGGTGTCCGGACTCAAACTGAGGGATTAAAAGATTTTTATAAGGAAAGTTGTTTTCAAAAAAAAATCTGAGTCAAAGAGTTTTGAGAAAGAACAAGGTGTGTGGTGCGTGCAACCGGCCGAGCTCAGCTAAGTTTTCCCCAAGATACCCATACTTGTTATGTGATGTTATATGATTTATGATTTTGATAACTGCATGCTAGATTAGGGCTAAGGATCTAGGAAGATGCGTTGTATGCCTGATGTATGATTCTGAGAACTGCATGCTAGAATAGGGCTAACGATCTAGGAAGGATGCCTTATGTGCCTGTTGTATGAGTTGTATGCTAGGATTGTTTAGTCAGCAGTAGGATGGCCTGTATAGGTTATGCCTGAATTAGTTACTCAATGCACGAATGCTGCTTGCTTTGTTCTATAGGGGTCCTGGATAACTCTAACTAAATAGTGAGCAGATATGATAAAGTAAATCCGCAAGCTAGTTAGGGAGAGGCGGGTAGGGACTCCTAGTGCAGCTGACGGCAGAGAGTAGGGTCGGGGAGTGTCCTAGGAAAGCCTAGAATGAGCTTAGTTGGGAAGTTGTATTGGTATAAGGGACTTGGTGAATTCGAGACAGTTCTTGAGGAAAGTACGGATAGATGTGGAAGGTAGTATGGGCCCGTACTACTGAAAGCAGAGGATCCATACTCGAATCAAGGAAGGTTAAGACAGAACCGGGAACTTGGAGAGTGTGTGAGACCTCTCGAGGAGAATGTATGATCCTGACATTTATGTGTTTTATTTTCAGTATGGCGATTACACGACATGGAGCAGGATCTGGGTCAGGATCTGGGTCAGGCTCGGGCGCAGGATCCGAGTAGGTTGATGAAGGACTACGCGAGTTCATCGCATCTGAGATCACGAGAGCCATCCTTGAGTCGACCCCGGTCATATTTGGGTCGATCAAGGAGGGGATTCTGGAGATGATGGAGGATCGCCTCCGGGCATTCAGGAGTGATCTGGCGTCTAGCCAGACGGGTACACCACACATGTCCTTTAAGGACTTCGAGGGAGTGGTGCACCGGACTTTCACGGGGCGAAGGACTCCGTTGCTGCCAGGAGATGGATCGCAGACATTGAGTCTGCACAGTTGAGGGGCTTCTGCCCGGAAGGGTCGAAGGTCCGCTTTGCTGCGGGATGTTTGAGGGATAGAGCTAGAGACTGGTGGGAGTCGGTTGGTGACTCGTTGGGAGCCCCAGCCGTCGAGGCTATGACTGTTGGATAAGGTGTCTAAGTCCATAACTATTTCTGGTATGTACTTGACCCGACCCGGCATGGTCCATTTGGGTTGCATGACATCATGCTTTTGGATAGACTAAATGAGAGAAATAACACTTGTGGTTTATTAATATATTATAAGTTCTAATATATTAATAATAGTATTTAATTAGTATTGATCAAGAATTAATTCGGAATTAATTAAATGATCAAAAGAAGACTAATTAGATATATGGGTTGATTATGTAAATCATCCATAAGTTGTATAGTGGGCTAAAGGCTCCATGGGTTATCAAGATGGGCTAAGGTCCATAGGATGCTCCATGGATGCTCCATGGGAGTTACAAACCCATGGGTCATGGAAATGAAGAGCCATGTTACATTAGGGTTTACATGGTGTAACCCTAAATGTAACACACTATATAAAGAACATGTAATCTACCAAAATCGGCTACACAAGTAGTTGCAAGAGGGCTAGGCCGATTTTCAAGTGTTCTATATTCTCTCAAAGTCATTCCAAAGCATTTGGTGTTGTGTGAAACATTTGAGGCATCACACTTGGGGTGCTAGGCTCTCAAGGTTTTCAAGGAATCAAAACAACTACAAGGTATGTAATTCTAGCCATCTTTTATGTTTCAAGTTCCCCATGTATGCTAGATAGGTTTATGAACCTTGGAAAAAGTATTTTGCATGTATTTTAGACAAACATAGATCCAAGGTTTTCTAGGGTTGCATGTACACTTAGGAGTGTTAGAATGCTCAAAACCCTTCAGTGGTATCAGAGCCTAGGCTTGTTTGTTGATACTTGATGCAAAATAGTGAAAAAGTCGAATTTCTTGCTATCTACACAGGGGACTCGCCGAGTCCATGGGGGGACTCGACGAGTCCAAGCGTATCTGCAACCAACTCGGCGAGTTAGTTGTTGCACTCGACGAGTTGGTCATGCAGAGTGCAGATTTTCGACTTTTGCTGCTGGAAATGGACTAGAAACATTACCCGAAACTGTTTTGGTGTTTTAAACTTGTTTTAGATGGTGTAATGTTTGTTCTAATCCATTTACAATGGCTAATATCAAAATTACATGATTATATGTGTTCATATGTTCTTGAAATTTTGATATG